GCTTAAACTTTCGATTATATCAAATAGAATTTCCGATATATATTTGTTAATATGTAAAGGATCTAAAGCGAAAGTATGTTTTGAAATCCGAAATCTGTTTATCATTTTCACGCTCGGTGGCGGGCGCGTAATGAATTGGAAGTTGATTTGTCAGCACTATCCTTATCTTCAGCACAGATGTTTTTATTTTATTTGGCTTATAATTCCTTACCAAATGTAGTATTTCATCTCGATATGCTCCGTCTTTGATATGATTTAAAACAAGTTCCTCGTCATTATAATTCGCTTCCGATAGCGAAGAAAAGTGACAGAGGTTATTGAAAACAAAAAAATTTCGATTGACAAATTAGTCGGTGTTCTTGACACAGCAATTATAGGACTTGAACGGCGGAACTTTGTAACTGAACAAGAAATTATGTCTGTTTAATAGAATTAAAGAGAAAGTATTATCACATGAAACGAAGCAAAACTTAAACAACTTACATTGAAAGAAATGTTTAATAAAGTAAACAAATAAATATTAAGCTTTTTCTTTTTGCAAATTTTGATACCCTATAGATCATAATTGTTCTTTATTTCATAAATTACGGTTTCATATTTTTAATTTTGGAATTTCTGCATGCCATCTTACGAGATTTAAACTGATGATCTATAATCCGGAAAAATCGATAATCCGGAATCGCTGAAGTCCCGACGAGTCCGGATTAACGACTTTTGACTGTATTTTGTTTAGATACTGAGGTATGTATGGTGCACTGAGACAAAAATGATGAATCTTTTTTAATTAACTGTCAGTTTTCAATTTCTTTACTTTTTTTTTTTTGTTTTCATGCTTGTGTCTAGTGGAAAAATAAGAAAACGAAGGGAAGATAAACATATTAATGATTTTGGGGATCAAAAGGAGAAAATTCAAATAATTTTCTTTTCACTACTCTTCCAAAAATTCTCCAAAAGATAGGCAATTCATCACAAAATTCCTATAAAACACATCTATTATGTGTTAATAACCATAAAGACACTTTTCATTTCATCACATTTTTCTGGAAATTGTAGGTCTATAGATATTGCCATCAACATAATAATCTATAAATCTTGCATTTAGATCTTTCTAGATGCAGGGTCTAAAATCCAAAAGAAAAATCATCACTACAAACTCTGTAAAAGCTAAAGGCCAGAAGATTTTTGTGGGGGAAAGGGGGAATCAGAAAAGAGAAGTGTAAAGTGAATTTTCATGAGAAAACTGATACACCTATAAATATTCTGAAATAATTACATAGAAAAAAAAAAAAAAACTCTTAACATGCATTTTGAAACAATTACGGTGGCATCCCCCCATTTCAAAGTCTCTAAAATAGAAAGTAATGTCACTTTAAAATAGGGCAGGATAAAAAAAAATGTTTTATTTTAATATTATTTCTTAAATATAATTTTTCATTTATTATGATAATTTTATGATATTTATAGGTGTTTGTGGGAAAAAATTTTTAAAATCTTGCAAATATCTAAATAAAAAATTTTGTACACCTCCAAAATGTTGATAAGTAGCCAAATTTGGTGCTGTATAATAAAAGAACTCATATTTAAAAAATGGAACAGTTGTTTTTGATGTAATATTTTATGAATTTTTCATTCGTGAAAAAAGAATTGCTTTGAAATATTTGTGTTTCAATCAAAGCAAAGCCTCGTATTTAACACTCGAGTATCCACCATTTATATTAAAAAATTGGAAAGGATCAAACGTTAACCCATCAAAATACATATTTGTCAATGCATCGCCAAAAAATATTCCTAAAAAATGTTAATTCACACACGAAATGGCAGTCATAAAGAACAGATAGAAATGTCGGATGAGTAAAATCAAGGACATTTTGCCAGTTTCGGCCAAAATTAAGGCCTTTTAAGGATCAAAAACTGTTTCCAAAAAACCTAAGGACCTATTTTTAAAGGACTGTATGAACCCTGATTTTACATGTTCTTTATACATATTTCCAGTTATTACTTGTATATTTCTATAAAGACAACTGCAAGAAAACATCTTTGAGGTATTTATTCCTTCTAATTCATAGGTTTCATATCCTTCTAAAACACAAAATATTGTCTCTTGAGGGAAATATCTGCTGCAGGCCTCTTGCACAAGCAATTCACTGAACTAATAAATGCACAGTTTTTTTTTGAATAACTGATTTTTTTTATTATAAAATAAATGTGCAAGCGTCCATGTGATATTAATTTAGGATACAATAATAGCATTAGAATATTTTTTCTTCTATATCTTTTGCCTTTGCCATTTTGAACAAAGCACTTTAAATACCATATTTCCCCATGTGTCCCCCCCCAGCTTTTCAGTGCTAGGTTCTGAAATTAAAAAAAAATATATTCACATAACTTCCCCCTTTCTCTGTTGTAGATAGCTTTTACCTCTGAGGGCTAGTTTATTGGTAAATCGTATTCCCTTGATTATTTTTATTTAGTGCATCTAATTTCTATTTGTATTTTTGTATTAGCAATTACCCATTTTATTTTTAATTACATTACAATTATTATTTGAAATGTATTTTAAGCAGATGCTCCATATGTTAAAATTCTGAACTGCCTTGAAATGGTTTTTCCTCCCTCCTCTCCCCATCCATTAACTGCAGCGCTTTGGTTTTCAAAGAGTTAAGCTACTTGGATGCGGCAGGTGTTCTCGCTTGTTTGCACCCATTGCAGTGCACAACAGGAATGCAAGTTGAGCTTGTTCATGACCTTCAAAGAGTTAAGTTACCTTACATGGAAAAAAAATTAAAGATAATTTGCATAAGCCTGTCCAGGTTTTTATGCATAAGTTAACCCCTTCGCATTGGGTAGCACAAACGCGCGTTTCTCGTGGAGGCCGGCAGTGTCTTACACGAGCGTCTGTCCAGGGCCGGGGGCTTTTTTGTTATTAAGCCTAAATCCATGAAATTTCCGAAGTATCAACGCATTGTTTAATAATGCTCTATAGAGTATTTAAAACGGCTTATGCTTTATAGATATTTTATATATACTTTAATTACCTTATTTCTTGTTTAAATGCATATTTTACACATTTTATTTTCATTACTCACCATTTTATGACTTTTAACATTATACATCTGAAAACTAAATATATTACTTAAAATTCTCTTTTCATATGAAAAATTTTAAAACAGGGATCTACACACAATCCTACATTACATTACTTGCACTCGTAATAACTCATTTGCCGTTTTGGAGGATTTTTCCAGGAATGTGAACAAACGAAGCATTGTCTCATTTTCTTATCAGTCTCTTCTAAACAAAGTTTCGGAAAATGTCTTTCAGTTAATCTGAGCGGATTTAATGATTGTGGGTTTCTTTATAATATTCATCAAAATATAGTAAAAGCGAAAACATTTGAAACTGATGTAAAATTAGAAACCACAAATTTACATGCTAATGCAATGTAAAATTATTTGTAAGAGCAAAGAAAACGAACATTTCTTCCACTGTAACAGGTAAATACTTCGAAGAAGTTGCTCCAGATTCATCCTCAGGATATTTACTCCTCTGATACAGATTAGTCTCTTCAGTAATTAATTTCATTACTGTATCATCAAAATAATACCTAAAGAAATCAATTTCTTCTTCAACCGAATTATCCACTTTAATTCCAGGAACAGCTTTAAATGGTAATTCCGATAAAATTTTCTATTGTGGATGACCACGGAGAAGTACTTGCTTTCGACGTACTCGGCATACAGATGTCTGAAATGTCCTCATCATCATTCGATTCGCCAGATTCTTTATGATCAGAATATATCATAGTATCACTATCACTACTATCAGAATCTGTTTCAGAATTAATATCTGAAATATTTTGCATCATTTCTGCTATTTCATGCTCTGTTAAACATTTTCGACGCTTCGACATTGCAACGGTAAAAACAGAAAGAATTCACGTCTAACAAGATCTAATTATTTTCTAAAAACTGAACTGCAAACCGAAATACCCAATGCTTTAGTGAAAATAAAACTTCTCTACTTACAATAAACAACTACCACGTGCGAATTTAAAGAGACGTCATAAAGCACGCCATTCGGAAACATTTATTTCAACTTTTGTTTATATAATCAAAAACACGTGTATGTGAGTCATGCTTCTCTCATTTCGAGTAGAAGGTCTAATGTACATGTATCTGAAACCATATGGACATACAGAATATGGAGATATCTTGTGGCAGAAATTATAGTTTTTAAAACGTTCCAGGACACTGGCACAAATACGTGACAGTTGGGGCTGAACGGGGAAAACGGTCCGGCACGCCTGCGTATCAGCCAGGAAGTGAGTGTGTTTGTTGCTGGCACGTAGACGTGACAGTCGGCGCGAAGGGGTTAAGAACATTTTAAAAACAAAATGACTCTGAAATTGAGACAGCTTTCACACAGCATTAAGATTTAACATAATATTACACATATACGCACCTATATTCTTTTTCATTCATTTCATAGTTTGTTAGTTTTTTAAATCGCATTAGTTCCCTTCCCCCCAAAAAAAAGAACAATATAAAAACAAAATTAGGGTCCCATTATGACCATAACCAGAATTCAACACTAAGAAGTTATGTAAAATATAGTAACATCTAAAGGTAACAAATAATTTTACATTACATTAGCATTAGCATGTAAATTTGTGGTTTCTAATTTTACATCAGTTTCAAATGTTTTCGCTTTTACTATATTTATTGTGGGAAGTTCAGTAATATCACAGATGCCAAAATTTTAAATGTCCATTTCCTTATTTTACAGTCCACCAGTAATACTTTTGTTTTTATATTATTTTTAATGAACATGGGGCCATCTTTGGGCCATAGATTGCTTGCAAGGTATTTAAAGCAGTGTCAGATGAAATATTTGGACCATTCCAAACTTTAATAGATTTATTTGAAGACAGGTTTATTTAAAGACATAAGAACATATACAATTAATAAAATTATGAAATACACATATTAAATTATTTTTACCTTGTAGGGTCTATTCTCTCATCAAATCCATCTATTTGTACAACATTCATTTCATGACCAAACCTTGAATAGCTGAATGAGATCTATTAAAAAAGTGCACTTATTTGAAACATTAAACATAAATTTCCTAGCATATAAAAAACAAATCTAAAGATTTTCAAAATCACTGTATCACAGCTTATGTTGTATTAAATTTAAAACATGAGTTGTAATAAACTACAGACATACTCGTAACTTTCAAAGCTATAAAGAAGTTTTAAATTACACCAGTTTGAAAATCTGGTGCCATTTTATGAAGCCAAATATACTAACTTGGTCTGCAAATGTATCTTGCTTCAAAAATTTCATCGGTTCAAAGTGCGAATGAAATAAATCCACAACTGTCAGCTTCTTATTCAATATATGTTCTGAAAAATGTTTAGTTAATAATTCATTTAGCATGCTAAAATACACAAGCTTCTTATTCAATACACATTCTGAAAAATGTTTAGTTAATGATTCATAAACATACTAGAATAAAGAAAAGATATGAAAATATTAGTACTCTCTGATTATATGCAGCAGCTCCCTTCTGGAAAAGTTGTCATGCACTAGATATTAATTTTTTGCCAAATTAAGGTGCGAAAAACCACAGCCATTTTCAAAAATGGCCGCATATTAAGAATTACATAAAATAGCATTTAATAAAATCAAAAATGTAAAAATCATGCAAAATAAAACTTTTGTGTGTGTGTGTGCTCTTATCCCAATAAACAGAGTGAAATGTTTTAATTTAAAAAAAAATCAGAGAATTGCAGAAACTCAGCATCACATGTAACTTAACACTGTGCACACTGTTGGTTCTACGCATGCACACAGCACCATGTTTTTTGCTTAAACTTTAGAGACCTGCACAAATCCAGGGCTGGAACACAAATTTTGATCCATAAAATTAAATCATTTATGAAACACGGCTTGATGAAATGGCACTTTTTGTGTGTGTGTGTGTATTCTCTAATGTTACACAAAATACGAGATTTCGGAAGAAATGTTAAAACTTTCTTCTTCAACCCCACAGTCCCATTATGATTCCTTACAAGGAAAAAAAGTGCACTCAATGTAACAAAAACAAACTCTAATGACCACTGAATCTGAAGCTGGCAACATGACCTTCGGTAGAAATGTGTCATCTGCTGCCTGAATATGCATGCCTAGGTTTCACATAAATAAACTATGGTGGCATAGAGCATTGCCCTATGAATACTTTTCAAGGAGATGTGGATAATCAGGATGTGGATAATTAAATAAGGTACCAAAATATTTATTATTAACAGCTGCCCATACATATGCATACATAGTTTTCAACTTTGACGTTTATTTCATTAGACATTAAAAAGCAGAAAATGTAAGAATCTTAACCATTCTTTTCATTACCAATAATAAAAAGCATTATCTACACATGATGCAATAGGCAGAATTGTTTAGAACTTCCCATTAGCACAAATGTTTAGGACTAAAATGAACTTTTTCCAATAAGTCTAATAAAACTTGCCTTAGTTATTGTTATTATTAAACAGTCTCAAGAACAGCTTTTAAAAATTCATCTCGTTATGGAAAGAAGCTTCAATATAATTTTTTATTTGATTTTAAACTGCTGATATCTGCTGTTAGGGAATTAAAAGCCAAAATATGAAGAGCAATAATTTAAATTACAGCTGAAAATAAGAGATTTTTAAAGAAATGAGTATTAGTAATAAAGGGTTACTGCATTTTTGTTCCGCAGCAATTCATAGCTCGGGGAAAATGAATGCATTCTTTTTGAACACAGGACAGGGCACATTAAAGATGAGATTATTTTCCTCTTTTAATGGTTTCAAAAGAGCTAAATTTCATGTGTTCTTCGACTGAACTTTATTCACTCTGCATTGGTAAAGACTTTTTAAGGGAAAAATCCATTTGCCTCTCGAATTGTAAATGTCATTCTGCACTAAAGATAAGTTGAATGTCATTCATACTATGAAACGGATGTAGCCAAACCAATATCTGCTAAAAATAAATTCACTCAAATCTACAGTTGGATTACATGAAAAAATCTGGAAAAGGTTTAAAACGTTTTTATTAAATCAGAATTTTAACATAAATGCATGTCTCGTACTTAGCAAAACTATCACCACTTGTGGTGATGAAACTTACAATAATAGTCAAATTAAAAAAAGTATTCATGAGGGAAAATAGGCAACCCACAATGTTAGAATATAAACAGATCACTTTATAAATGGAACAAAACATAACACTGGCATTTTATTACAGGCATTTACCCAGATTTTTAATTAAATAATTAATTTAATTCTTTCAGTATTGACATTTTTTGACATTGTGGATTTATGAAAAATAATTTTTTCACTAACAATTATGCCTCCTCTTCTGTTGGTAACACATAAAAATTTAAGTTTTATAGGTTTTTATCAAGTGTCAATTTCAAACTTGTCAGACTTGAAAGTCTATCTTATTTATTTATTCTTTAAACTAGAGCAATGGGCCTGTGATTCATTATGACATATTCAGTTCTTTTTGACACACTAAGTGTAACTCATTTATTTTCACATTTTTGTTTTTAATTTTTACTTGACAAATTTTGTAACTTCGACATTCATAAAGTTTACTATGAAAACTTTATGAATGTTGAAAAACCAACATTATGTTATGCAACACTGTGCTTAATTATATTTAGCAATTGTAATTTAACAGTATTTTACCAATGATATAGCCCATGGTAACATCATCAGGTAAACGAATTTTTTCACCAATACTGATAAATTTTCCTCCACTAAAAAGAAAAGATGATAACAAAATAAATATAAACAAGATAGAATTACAACATAATGAATAATCCATAGATTTAAGTTCAACTTCTACCAGTGAAATAAATAAATAAAAATTAAAAGCAAAACCAAAAGATTTTGTACTGATGACAACAAAAACATCAAATTAAAACAACTAAAAACATTTTTGCCCCTCGTTAAAATAATGAAGCAAATAATCATAAAAATAAAATACTGAATCTATAAAAAGTTAATAAAATAAATTAAATATATAATTATAAAAATATACGAAAACTTTCAGATTTTATATTATGCACAAAGGGACATGTTTAACGTTTTGTTACCATTACTTATTAAATATCATGTTCTTTGCACTTAAACCATAAAATTCAATTCAACAGCAATATCATAAAACATTATGTACGTTATTCAAAATTTTATTGCTCTAAGTACCATTGTTTTATCACAATGTGAGAAACACACACACATTTATGCAGATTTTTCATTTAATTCCTTTAAATATAATACAGAGCTCTAAAATTTGGTGGCAACAATTTATAAAGTGATTCGCCATTTATAGTGAATCAACCAAAATGAAGTTAAAAGCCCTTCTGGGCAAATTGCTCCTTTGGGCTAAAAATAAAATAAAGATTTAAATTATTTGAAGGGTATTTATTGGTTTCAAATAGCTTAGTTTATTAAGTAGTTACAGAATGATTAGATTTGAAAGTTAAACCAAAGATCTGGTGCTTTGTCACATATAAGGGCAATCCCAAAAATAAGGTCTCCTACATTTTTAGATATACAAACAAACATTTATTTTCTATAGTACTTACATCAATTTAAAGGCTGAAGGATCACCTTTTTTTTTTTTCCCTACATAATTGCCATTTTGGTCAATGAATTCTTCACATGTGGCAGTTTTACAGTGCCCTAACATACCAGCTTTCCATCATGTCCTTCATGAAGCATTAAATCTCATATTTTACCTGAAATGCTCTTCTGAGTTTTTTCAGTATGTCAGAGTGTGGTCCCAGCAGCCTGAAAGTTGACCAACAATACTCCCTCCTGATCCCCAAACACAGTTGTGATAACTTTACCGGCAGACTGTGTCTGTTTGAATTTTTGTGGATTGGGGGAAAAGGGATGTCATCACTTGCATGAGTGTTGTTTGGTTTCAGGCATAAAGAAGAATGCTCAGGTTTTATCAACTGTCGAAGAAATTGTCCTTTTTATCTGCATAGCAGATTGTTGCCATTTGCTGTCTTCCATTAGCATACACGGTATCATCTCATGCAAACCTTCTGATATTGCAACTTTTCTGTTAGAATCCTGTCGATGGTGCTTCAGGAAACCTCAGGAACCAACAAGCAGAGAGAATCCAGACCGATCCTTTAATCTTTGTGCATGTTTTCCTCAAACTTCACAATTGTCTCGTCAGAAAATGATGCTCTACCACTATTTCGTTGGTTGTAAATTTCGATATAACCGACTGTAAACTCTCTACACGACTTGCAAGCATTTGTGACATTCGTGCACACTGCCCATACACTTTCAACAAATGGTAATGAATTCCAACTTGTTGATCGCCTTCTGCATTCAAAAAGTGAATAACTATGCAAACTTCGCACTTGGCAGTAGCGTTTAATGGGAGCTCCATTTTGAATGGCGGCAAAACAGAGACTGAGCATCCAAAGCAAAGGGGATCTGCTTATTGGGGAGTGTAGGAAGCACCACTCACAACAATGTGGCCAATAACAATACTAATAGTTTATGTTCAAAAAAAAACATAGAGGCCTTTTTTTGGCACCTCCCTTTAGAAACAAAGAAATGGGTATTTCTAGAGACAAAGAACAAATTACAGATATTATTTTCACTCTCTAGAAATACACCATGTTTAACATTGGGGTAGGGGGAAGAGCTTCTGCAGGCCATTTGTCTGCAAAAGTTATTATTACAATTTAAACTGGATTTTTTAATTATGGTAAAAGCATATGATAACAATCTATTAAGATGAGGAAAGCTCCTACAGAAGACTTTCTTCACTGGCCTATATATTTTTTATATATGTGGAGAAGCAAAAAAATGCGATGTAGCCAACTTGTTCCACTATCCGACTTTCCTGTATTAACTCCATTTACCTAAATTTGTACAAACCTTTTAAACTAACTAACTTTTTGTCAGTCAGACTATAAAATAAAATATACTTTGACATATTTTAAAAACAAAATCATATATTGATTGAAACTGTGAGCAAATCACAAATAATTTTATTGCAGACTTCATGGATACATCATCATAAATTTGATAGCTAAAATGCACAATTTTTTCTGTGGTGAAGACGAAAATGATAAGCAAACCTGTCTGTCAAAATTTTCCATTATAGCTTCTGTATACCTTACCAAAGTCATCTTTTAGGAAGCTAACAAATGTGACAATACAAGGAAATGTACAACTCGAGGCACAGATGACAGCGTTACTAATTTATGGTTAGGAAAATATTTCAAAAGCTTTCAATAAATTTTAACATTAGCATTAATAATTAACTGCAAGTACGTTAACAAATGTAATCAATTGAAAGAAAATACCTTGCAATAGGCAGCATTTTCAGAGCTAGTGCACGACTTAAACAAAAGCCAGCTCCACCAGTTGCAAACCAGAAAGAAATATTTTTCTAAAAGGATGAAATTTCATACATCAGTTTTATAAAAAAACACTGCACTGCAAAAGCAAATCAGTTAATGAGTAAAGATAACTAACCTGTTTATCATCACGGCTTATAATTTCCAGAGGAGATCGAATACTGGGTTTACCTAAATACCAGTCCTCTTGAGGATTATATGCTTGTAATAATTTCAGAAGGCGTGGCACATTCACATAGTTATCATCATCAAAATGGCAAAACCATCTAATAAAAAAGGATGTATATTTTGTAACTATAACATAAGCATGCAGCATTCATTTATGAATTTAACAAAATATTATATTTAATAAGCATAAAAACATACTTACTTTTTTGCACTATCTAAGAATGTATCAAACTCAACAGACATCTTACAGCATAATGCCTTTCTGAAAGAAACATTAAATCCAAAATTAGTTAACATTTGTTATTATGAAAAAAAAAGGGGACACTAAATAAGGGATACTATCCTGTACACTGTTAAAGTTTCCTACCATCAGACTATAGACTGTGAAAGTTTGCTACCATCAGACTGTAGACTGTGAAAGTTTGCCATGAAAATTGGCAGAGACCCTGCAAGGGTATGTCATTCATTTCTGCAGAATTCTAAAGGAAATGACATATCTTTATTTAATTAACCCCTTCTCGTGCTTTAACGAGTCTGACTCACTCACTCCTGATGAAGATTTTGTCCCAAACATAAAAAACAGTGAACAAAAAAAAAAAAAGTTGTATAAACTTTTGTTTGGAAATCCATGTAACAGTCATAATAAAAATGTAAATGCTGAATATAAGTATCAATAGAATATGATAATTCCATAAGTAAAAATATGTGATAAAAATAACAAATACTATATTTAAATGGCATGATTTTTAACAGCACTTGTAAAATTTCTTCTATTTGTTTCAGCAAATTATTTTTCAAATAACTAATAAAAGCATACAGTATTCTATGCCAACTTGAAAAACAATTCCAAGTACTTGCTGCAAAACTTCTTTTTATGTAATTTATTTTTATTCTCCATCTTATTATTTTTTTTTAATATATATTTGAATGTTACAAAATGAATTTGATTGTGTTAGGAAGATGAGCACCTGCCTTCTGCAGTGGCCTTGGTGAGAATATTGATTTGGTATGCTTTTGCTTAGGCGAGAAACAAACGATTATGGTTAGCAATCTGCACACATGTGTTTCTTCTAGTGTTGCTTTTAAAATATAATGATTTTTCATTGGTGCTAGTACTTCACTTTCTGGTAAAAATTTTCAGTTTTAATACATAGCAATTTTTCAATGGTTACTGATATGCACATATGTATTTCTTTTACCTTCGATATTAAAATATAATAGTTTTCCTTGCATGCTGGTAGTTCCCGTTTCTTTGGCTAATCAACATTCTCATTTTTAAACAGCAGTTTTTCATTGCAAATATTTATCATGCTTACTATTTTCAATGTACTGCCAATTGAAAAGGAGGCTATAGTTTATTACAAAAAAAGTATTTTATCAAAAACAGAATTTTTGAAAATGAGTATAATATGCAATTATGTATTGGAAAAGAAACCATTTGGCGATGCAATGTCAGCATCTATTTAAAAAAAAAAAAAAAAAAAAAAGTCTTTGCACTAAGAATTGGTTTAATGGAACTTGTTTGTTCACCTGGAATCCTGTTTAGCAGAGTTCATGTTCGAGCACCAAGTCAGCTGTGATATTATTTTTGAGGAAAAATTGGAAGAAATTGTTGAATTGTGGCCATCAGAAACAGTTCGTAAAAAATGAATTTTCCAGTATGTATGTTATTTTTTAATAAATTGCTAATAAAATTGCATACTATAATAAATACATTAAAATTTATGATTTCATTCCATAATAAACATAATAAATATTTTGCAAAGAAAAACCACTATACTGACAGAGTGCATTACGTTTCTTTCTCGCATATGTGCAAATCGGTAGCCATTTGTTGTCAGCTGCAGAAAATAAGTATCAAAAATCTTTACAGAATAATAATTTGTTTCAAAACATAACTTAAATAGATGAAAAGTTTCATAATAAAATCAAAATTGGTAACTTTCAATATGAAAGAAAAAAAATCTTTTGCAAAACTTGCTTCTCTTTCTTCATAAATCACACAGATTTTATTTATATTTAAATTTTGTAGAGTTATCTTATTCTGACTATGCATGAAATAACATTTTCTGAATTTTCACATCTTATTTGGTTGTGTTTTTACGAGGAATATATATATTGAACTTGCTGTAAAAATATAAAGAATCAAGTACAAATGTTTTATAACTACAGAAGTATCTATTGATATAAAATACTTCAAAGTACTTACCTACTATGAGAAGAGGAGCAATTTGTGTTAATAAAATGGCCTCCTGAAAGAATATTCATTCAACATTTATAAAAATTTTAGGGGGGGGGAGGAAAAAGGGAAGAAGAAAAAAGAAAAATAAAGGTAAACAACTTCTTAAATAAAATAATAATCTCTCACATGCTCTTAATTATAGAGTAATGGTGCATAATAAGATTCATTTGCATAAATTATTACAATTCAACAATTTTAGAGATAAAAATTCAGAACTTAATAGACAAGTATTTCATGCAAGTAATTATAAATATAGAACTACAGATTTTAAAACATATTATAAAAATAAACATAACATGAAGAGAATGCTGCATAAAAAAAATTATCAGCAAAAATGCTATTATTTAATTTTAAAAGAATGTGTGTGCTAGAAGTGTTGGATGAAAATAATTCCATTTTTCAAAAAATACAGCAATTTCCTAAAAATTATCTATTTTATTTTTAAGAACGACACTTAGTTTGAGAAACTTTACTCTTTCATACATTTTTTGTACTTAGAATTACATGTCTAGATCATATTTAAGGAAATAAAGACTGTAGCCATTTTGTCCAAACATTCTGTGCATGTCTACATACAGAGGATGTTTGGAAAAAATGATACAACCACACATATGTGATCATTTAGGAATGTTGATTGTGATTATAATAGATGCTGAGGCACGCACAGAACATCAGTAATGAAGAATAAACTTGGAAGTCGCAGATGCAAGAAGATGCAATAATAGCAGATTTAAATTGTATTTCCTTAAATGCAAATAAGCATTCTGCGGTATATGTATACTAGCACACTAATCATGCCATTCCATCCAGAACATAAAATTTACATTTTTCAGATAGTTGCGATAAGAAGAAAGCAGAACAGCAGCAGTCTAGCTATGGTGAAGTACAGAAGCAAAGTGCGATATGGTCAGGACAGAATCTTAATTTAGAGTGGGTTAGTTTCAGTTAAAAAATGTGGAAAAGAATGAGTGGGAAAAAAGAACATTAAAAAGTTCAGTAAAAATAATAATTAATAATAATAATAATAATAATAATAAAAAGAAGGAAAGAAACATAAAATATTATTCAACACTCTCAAATGTCTAAACTAATTGAATAAGTTATCATATGAACCAAACTCGCAAAGTTATACTCGCTAGACAAAAAAACTGCCAAATTTGGTGAGTAGTGCATGTGGCACATCAAATCTAAAAACAGACTTCAGGGCCTACTACAAATTAATGTTAGAATTTTGTCTCACATACACATATACAAGAAATTCTGCAATAACTAACTGATACATAACCATCATGGGATACCCTGAATAAACTTTATAATCAAATGATCAAACTGAATAATTCGTAAAATCCTAATATCAGGTACAGCCTTGGTGCGATTTTGAAAATTGTTGTCAACACCAAAATAATTCATTTATCGCTTATCATAATGTCACCAAATACTGCGTTTACCATGTACTAGGATTAAACCAAATAATCAAGACTGAAACTGAATAATAAAATGCAAAAATTATTGCCACAATGAAAATAACAAAAACATAGATTTAAGGAATCACAATATCATAGAACTACAGTCAAAAGTCGTTAATTCGGACACCCATAATCCGGACCTCAAAGCTAAAAACTTTCTGCGCATGCGCCGCATTGACACATGCGCATAGGCGTTTACGCGTGCGCATATGCACGTGCGCAAGCGCAGAATACATTTTTGCGTGCACGTTTTATGTATAACGGACGGTATAAGCTAAAATTATCTAATTATCTATTTCAGTTAATGTTGATGAATGCATTGTTCCTTAATCTTCGAATTGATCTGGCTTATTATTTTTTGCAGACTGTAAGAGCAATATTATAAAAGTAAACTTGAACTTTCGATTATGTCAAATAGAATTTCCGATTCTGGAGCTCTCAGAGGATCGATCATACAAAACAAAGTATGTTTCGATGTCCATCAAACAAAAAGTGGAACTGCTGCAAAAAATGGATAAAGACATGAAGGATGTGACAGAGAGGTTAGTGAAAATGAAAAAATTTCGATTGACAAGTTAATCGGTATTCTCGGCACAGCAATTAACGGGACTTGAACAGCGGAACTTTGTAACTGAACAAGAAATTATGTCTGTTTATAGAATTAAAGAGATCATTTATCACATAAAACGAAGCAAATTAAACAACTTACATTGAAAGAAATGTTTAATGAAGTAAACAAATAAATATTAAGCTTTTTTTTTTTTTTTTTTTTTGTAAATTTTGATACCCTTTAGATCATAATTGTTCTTTATTTCATAAATTACGGTTTCATATTTTTAATTTTAGAATTTCTGCATGCCATCTTACGAGATTTAAACTGATGATCTATAATCCGGAAAAATCGATAATCCAGAATCGCCGAAGTCCCAACGAGTCCGGATTAACGACTTTTGACTGTACATGTTTTACTACAATTCATTTAATCTTATTGTTAAAACATACACTATAAAGTCAGCTATGTTAATGACTATAATAGCAATAAAATTCTTTAAATATACGCACTTGTTTTCGAGTAGTATACAGGATCATCAGCATCAGTAAAGAAATATGTCTGTAAGAGAGAAATGCAAAATAGAATTTTACACACTGTAAAAATATTGACATACTTAAAAAAAAAAATTTAATTTAAGTACAAGAAAAATCATTTTAAATCAAGTGAAAAACACCATTAAAAAATGGTACTTCAGTATTAACATGGGTGCCATCCTAAAATACCAGTTTAATTCTTTTATAGCAGCAACTGCCCAATTATGGCTTCCAAAAAATTTACACATGTGTTATTTCTCCAAAATAAATATATATTATTTCAGGTTAAATAGAAATAAATGATTCCATTTTTGAAGATTGCCATAATTCTTTTTAATATTCATCAAATTAATTTTATATGTCACCAAAGTATGTGAAGTGGCAGCTTTAATATAGAAGTACGACAATATATTTTGTCTCATCTTAATCATCCCCACATTAATTCTCTTAAACATGAATCTAAATGTTGATATCTAAAACTGAATGTTGATATGATGACCCGAGAAAAAGACTGCACATGCGGAATTCTTAAAACATATGATGCTGTGCAGCTTTTAAAAATTTTGTGACTTTGTTGTTGAACTACATGTATGCAGTGAAAGTGCAAAGAATACAATGTCTACTAATAAAAAAGAAAAAAGAAAAAAAAAGCAGAAAGGCTTTAGATTTTAAATTACGTCCAAAGGGGCATTTTTTTAACATTTTGTGTGTTACCTTTTTTTACTAAATATCATGTTCTACATACTCAAACCATAAAATTTAGTTCAACAGCAATGTTGCAAAATAATTTTAAAAGCAAGTAATATAAAAAATTATTTCTTAAAGTCAATTCCTACTTAGATCAACAAAGAAAAAATGTTTGAATTAAAAAAACATTTTTTTTAGTTATAATTAAAATTTTTTTAATATGGGAAAAAACTGTATTAACATCAAGTGTCATCCACTACAAGTTAAAAAAAATGTATGTGAACTTGAGTGGATGAATAAAAAGTATTTTATTATTGATTGAAAATTAATTAATTAATAATTAATTAAATAAAAAATTAAAGTCAATTCCTGCTTAGGTCAACAAAGAAAATTAAATTTTTTTAAAATTTAATTAAAAATTTTAATATGCAAAAAAAACTGTATTAACATCAAGTGTCATCCACTACAAGTCTAAAAAAATGTACTTGAACTTATAGTAGATGAATAAAAAGTATTTTATTAAGGACTGAAAATTTGAACAAGATATAGGAAGAGTGTGAGCTAATAGCAGGAATTTTAAAAAATGAGCCTATTTTTAGAATTTCGGATACAGACACACGCTGAAGATAATTCCCCCCCCTGCCATTGCCCAGTGTTGCCATTGCTCACATTGAAATTGTTTAGTTTTTTAATCAAAAATTTGTTGAAGTGTTACAAAATATGAAATTGATAATAAAACAAATTTCAAATTAAAATTATTGCTTCCACATGCCCATATTCTATGGAAGATTACGTTATTCAAATTTTGATGGCTCTAGGTATCGTAGTTTTATCACAAAGCGAGAAACATACATACTTCATGCAGATTCTTCATTAATTTCTTTAACTATAATACAGGGCTCTAATATTGGGTGGCAACAGTTTGAAAAGTGATTCGCCGTTTATAGTTTTCAACACTAAATGGTAAAACAAAATTCATAGTCCTTCAGGGCTAATTGCCCCTCTGGACTAAAAAGAGGAGGTTAACTGAAAGGAGTGCAAGTAGTAGACTTTGTGCTCCGCGAGAACGTAAAAAACTCTTAACAAACTCTTTTGGGCAACCGCTAAAACTGAAGCCTTACAGAATTTTTTTTCCCTTTATTTATTTATTTATTATTATTTTTTTTAAAATATAGATTCAGCAATACTTTTTTTCAAGCCAATTAGGTGCTAGCTTTTGGCAAATCTTCCTCGTCAGAAAACAAAGATTAATTGTTTTTTTAGAAAGCATGTTACTCCTCAGGTGCAGTCAATTCATATAACTGATGGGAACAGAGCTACAGAAATATTAATACTTAGATTTATTCTAGATTTCTTCTTAGATTTATTTATAGATTTATTCTCTCAATCAATTGTATTGAAGAGAAATACCATATATTTTGGCATATAACATGCAATTTTAATACAAAAAACAGAACCGAAATTTACGGGTGCGCGTTATACGCTGGATATAAAAATGATAGCTTAAAAATAAGGAAAAAATTAGATTTTTACATGCACCGAAATGCTGCTTATTTAAACATTTCCATTATTGGATAACATGAAGAGTTCGTCATTTTCGTTTTCTGTTATATCTTCATGCTTATCATCGAATTTTGCTTCGTCTTTGTTATATATTTTAATTCATAAATAAATCATCATAATTCGTTCCAGCTTTCACCAACACCAAACATCCTTGCTGCAGCACGATTTCGATTTTCTTTTGCAAAATGAACGGCTCTGCATTTGAGACCAGAACTGTGTTTCTATTCGCAGGAGCCATTTTTACCACTAAAAGGAGCACTAGAGCAATTGTATTTCAACTAAAGCAAATGCGATTTACTAAAGCCTTCGATGTTCACTTCAAAATCTCGGCTTCAAATGACTACAGAAACAGAAAACGTCTAACTCCTAATTTCACGAATTCATTCAGGTTGGAAATGCTCTACAATAGCATTCTTTTGGACACTTGCATTGAATACAATCCACCCTCTTTTCCGGAATATTTAATCCCTCAAGCATTTAACTCACACACATATTGTTACACTTATTGCTTGTCAGTGTGGTTTACCATTGTTTGAAAGGCTAAGAAAAATATTCCAATATATGACCTTAAAAGATAACAGCATTGCACATGTAGCTTTTATGTTTCTTCGTGAAGAACTGGATGCGTGTTATACGGCAAATACAGCTAAAAATTAAAAATATGTAGCTTGAAATTATAGCTGCGCGTCATACAGCGGTGCGCATTATGCGCCGGAAAAAATGGTACATCAGCTTCGGAATTAAGCAAAATTGATTCCCCTCCCCTTTTGCAGAAAAGCTATATGTTCTCTAACAGGATATAAGACACCGCCCCCCCCAAGGAACACAAACATTCTGCAACTGCACACATATTGTTTTCACTTTAAATGTATGAAATAATCTATCGTCTATCTATGTAAAAAACGAAGAGTCTGTCTGTGTGTCTTTCGTTCATGCTGCACGTAAGCTAATAGACACAGGGTTACAAAATTTAGTACACAAGTGCATCTAGACAAGAGCCAGTGCACCTCGAAGTGATGTTTTTTGATGAAATCGCATCAAATCGATAAACAGCACACAGCCATTGTTGTTGATATCAGCATTGTTGCCACTCAGAAAAATGAGGGCAATAATTCTGTGCAGTTTTCAAATTTAATTTTTCTCTTGGATGCTGGATGTTTGTCGAGAGAAACCAACGAACCCGGAAGTTGGTTAATTTATTTATTAGGATAATTAATATTTGTATTAAGGAATATTGCTTATTTCATTGTAATTTTTTTATACGTAACACATTTCTGTTGAAATATGTGTTTTCTTTCTCTTTTCTTTTTCTTCTCTTCTTTATTTCTTTTCTTTTTTTTATTATTTTTTTTAATAAAGTTGTTCTGCAGAGTGAAATACTATAAAAGTTTTTTAATTTAATGTTTGGTGTTCTCGTTAAGCATTTTTCCGGTACATTTAAAAGCCAGGCGAAGCGGCTAGTTTATGATAAAATGTTCCTAAGGGTTCAACACTTCTTCTCTGTATCAAAATTAACGATTAGCCAATTATAATTCTGATATTAATACAAAATAGAATGCGATTAAGTAATAGTAAAAGCCTTACTCAAATTTCTATGAACGAGCAATAAAAAAAGCAACATCGCAATATAATTTACTTCTCATCCTATGCATTAAACTTCGATGTAAAAAATGTAGCAAGGTTAGAAACTAAAAACTTTCACCGTAACACTGCCTGCTCTAGTTTTTCTGCCAACCAATTTTATTCCCAGGCTTTCCGCGTCACGGAGAAACATTCACCCTCCCCATCTTCGGTAACGGCAGTGTCAAACATGAGGTCGCCGTCATTAATTTTTTTTTTTCTCTTCATCTCAATAGAAACACGATGCCTCTTCTTTTCTTCTTTGCTTTTTAAGGCAAGGGGGAAAAAAAAGAGGGGAAATAAAGAAAAAAAAAAAAAGTCTTATTTTGTGAGCAACGGGGCTGCTAACAACTCACAGGGTTGCCAAAGGAGAGAAAGTAAACGGGACACTGGCCGAAAATAAAACGAATCGTATATGAAGTTTGATATATATATATATATATCGATATTAAACTTTAGCTTATCAATTTGATTGGATGCTCATCACTTTTTTCAGTAGCGACCCCTTTTTATCACTGAGATTTTTTCGCGACCCCCACATCCCCATAAGTATTGCGCAAATCCGACAAACGCGTGAGAGAAACTGTCAATTTTTTCACTTGTACTGAAATACACTATTGCAGTTTTTAGGTCATTAACTTTAATTTCTAATTTTAAGACATAGAACAAATGTGAAAATTTTAAATAAGTAACAGACGAAATGACAGCATCAAGTGCAAAACAGGTAAAATGAACGTTTCAATTATAAAAAAAAGAATGCGTCGAAACATTTTCGTTTTTTTCTTTGCCTGTATTGTCATATCTTTATCTATTTTCAGATACATTGTGCAAAAATATTTCGTAATTGTAAAATTATTATAATAAGTTAAAGAAATATCAAAACTGCTAAAATTTTTGGCGACCCCCTGGGGGTCGTGACCCACAGTTTAAGAAACCCTGCTCTAAACAGACTTTTTACGCTTTAATAAACACTGTGTATCATAAACGGTATCCTTTCTAGGCATTCTTCCATGACGGTACTATTAGTATATCATCTGAATATTAGTATGGAATTTTCACCTTGCGAAGATCTAAAAATATTCCTATAATCCATCTAAAATATAAAACACTTTCGTGTTTTCAGATATCTACCTAGACCAATTAACCTACCTTAAC